CTCCCAAATTCCACAAATAAGGCGCCAGAAGAACCCCCCCCCCCAAATTCCCCAATGGCTTCAATACTTTTTTCCCCTTTTGCACTTTTTCTTTTTTCTCCATTTATTTTTTTTTCTCCAGGCAAACTAAAATATTAAAATTAATCATCCTATTCCCCTTTTTTGAAAAATTATATTATAAAACATAATTATTATGTTTTAGTTCCATCCACAATCCAAACAATAAATTAAAACCACAATTACTTTAAAATATCCTTTTAGTAAAATAAATAAAAAAATAAAAAAAACAAAGAGGAAAAGAAATTTTATAAAACTGCACATTTATTTAATAAACCTTTTTTTATATATTATTTATTTATTTATTTATTAATTTAATTTATTTAATGTTATATGTAAGTGCATAATTATAACTTCGATGTGTGGTATTAGTAATATTACAGTTTGTGTGTATTGTTGTTTATTTTAATATGTTGTTGTATGCATTGTTGTATGTATTGTTGTTTTTATTCAGTTTTTGTTTCAATTTAAATTTACAATTCCCAATTATCAGAAAATAATTTCCCAAACTCACCCTAACGACAAAACACCACAGTTTATTTAATAATATTATTACTATTTTTTATTTTTTTATATATATGTGTGCATATTTTTGATATATATTAACCCTACTCTCCCCCCATTTAATTTTTTATTTTCGAAAATAAATTATTAATAAGGGAATAATAATAATATTATTTTTTTATTATTTTTTTATTATTTCAACCAACATTGTCTATAATTAGTTTATACTTTTTTAAATTTAATTAAATTTAAAAAAAGTCTCTCTGTGGAAATATAATTTTTTTAATCTTAATCAAACTTTAAAAACAAAAAAAAAAAAAAAAAATAGATTTGTGTTTATATTATTTTTTTTATTCATTAATAATAAATAAAAATATTAGATAAATTTATAGTTAATCTATAAATATTTAATTTTTATTTAAATAATTTATTTATTAAATATAATTAATAAAAAATAATATATTTTTTATTTTTTTATTTTTTTTTATTATTTTTATTTTCATTATATAAAACTTTAAAAAATGTAATTATTCTATCCCATAGAAAATATTTTATCATTTTAGAGTAATCATAATATAACCTTCTTTTTTTTTTATGTTGTGTGTTGGTGTGTTCATGTGCATATATGTCATTTGTTTTGACATATTCGTTTTTTTTCCATTAACGTGTTCTTTCCCAACGCGATTTCCTCATCACCATTTTAAATGTTTCAAAAAAAATTAAAAAAAAAAAAAAAAAAAATGAAAAAATAATTTTTATTTTTTTTATAATTTTTTTATTATTTAATAATTTTTTAATTAAATAATTTTTAATAATTCTAATCTCTATTTAATTTTATTTTTTTTTTATTTCTTTCTAATCTATAAACAAAAAATTTAATATAGATGTTTTAGTTTAACTTCACACATATAAAATAGCATATAATATAGTATAGTAGTAACATATAGTAAATTTTTCAAATTTTTAATAATAGCATAATAATATAATTAAAATTTATATTAATTTAATATTAATTTAATATATTTTAAACAATAACTATACAGACATATAACAGTAGTTAGAAGAGAAAACTAATAACAAGGTTAAAATACATATTTATATAATAAAATAAAAAAAGTAAGTGCAATATTAATATTAATAATAAAATCAATATCCATAGATTTTTTTTAATTTTTAATTTTATTATAATACTAATTTTTTTTTTAAAAAAAGTATTAATAGCTATAGTGGATTAAAAAAAGTATTTAATACTCTTTTTTTTTTTTATAAATTTTTGGTTATTTTTTGTTTTAACCAAAATATTTTTAAAAAAAAATTATAGCACAGATTATTAAAAATGCACGATAAAGATCAATTTAATAACCAGGACAATAATAATAATAACAATAACAATAATAATAATAATTATCCGCAGCAACAACAACATGATCTAAACCAAAGTTTTGATACTCAATCAACTAGTAGTCGTATGTATTTTTATTTTTTTTATATATTTTATTTTAGTATCTGGGAATCATAAGTGGTGATTACTATAAATTAATAATTAATAATTATAGATTACTACTATTGATTTTTTTCTTTTTTAATAAAAATAATATTTCATTTAAAATATTTTTACAACACATTAATATATTTGTATTCATTTGGTTAAAAGAATAATTTAAATTATAAAAAAATAATTTTTGTGCCAAATTGGATTTAATTAAAAAAAAAAAAAAAAAAATTATTATAACCACATTTTTCAAAAAAAATAAAAAATAAAAAAAAATAATCATTACACTATCATATATCATTCTATTATTCTATCTTACTTTCTCACACACCACGCATAAAACAAAAAACACAATAACAATAACAATAACAATAACTCCAAAATATATTTTTTTTAAAATTATTTAATTGTTTTTAAGAAAAAAAAAATTATTTCATTAAATTAAAATTTTTATATTAAAAAACTTGGTGCAAACACTTTCATTCTTTGTATTTTTTTTTTCTTTTTTTTTTTTTTTATTTTTTTTTAATTTTTTTAAATTTTTTTATAAAAAATTTAAAATAAAAAATAAAAAAAAAAAAAACCTTCAAAATATCGATATTTTCAAACACACCTATTATTTATTCCATTTATTTATATTATTTATTCTATTTATTCAACTATATTATATTATATTTTTTTTATAGTTAAAAAATTAAAAAAAAAAAACTTGTATTATTACATATTCACACCGCGCGTTAATATTTAAAAAAAAAAATATTAATAATAATAATAATAATAATAAATAACCATAATAAATAATCATAATAATAAAATAATAACATATGATAATTTAAAAACAAAAAATTTGTATATATAATAAAAACACCATAAACTCAAATTTAAAATTTCTATTTTAAACTGCTGTATGTCTATTAAACCTACTTTTTTTTTTTTTTTATTATTTTTTTATAAATTTATTTGTTTTAATTAAGAAAAATAAAAATTAATATATCAAAAAGATATTATATGATAAATATTTTATTTTTATTTTAAAAATTAAAAATAAAATCACACATACATACATACATATACATATAAACCCCCCACTTACCACACATTAGTTTGTTTATACTTTTATAAAAGAAAATAATAATAATAATAAAAATAATAATAATTTATTTTAATTGTATTGTTTTTTATATGTATATTTTTATTTTATTTTGATTTGTTTTTTTTATTTTTATTTTTTTTATTTTCTTTTTTTTTTAACAGTCTATTAATTATTAACCACCTTTTTAAAATTGAAAAATATTACTATTGTAGAAACAAATTTAGGTTGGATTTTAGAAGATAAAAAAAGTCCAACAATGGATAATGAAAAGGGTTATTCAGATATACCATTGGTCGAAGCAGGTGCCAGTGGTAGTGGACAACAGGGACATTCATTATCAAATAGTGGTTCTTTACCACCACAATCAACATTGTCAAGAGTACCATCATCGACTGTATCAGGTGGCTCAAATAAAAAATCAACAAAGTCATCATCACTTCGTTCTACCAAACCTAAAAAGAAGCCAAAGGCTTTAAAAAAAGTTAAAAAGAAGAAGTATATTGGTACTTCAAGAAATATTTATATAAATCAACCAGAAAGAAATATAGAATTTAAATTTTCAAATAATAAGATTTCAACAACTAAATATACACCATGGTCATTTCTCCCAAAGAATCTCTATGAACAATTTAGAAGAGCTGCCAATTTTTATTTCCTTGTAATTGCAATTATTCAATTAATTCCAGGTATTTCCCCAGTTAATGCGTATACTACATGGATTCCATTAGTATTTGTATTGGCTGTTACTGCTGTTAAAGAAGGTATTGAAGATATTGTAAGTATAATAATATACACTCATATAAATTACTATTGCATATTAATATATTAAATTTTTAATTTTTTTAGAAAAGAAATTCATCAGATAAAGAAATCAATAATTTAGATTCAAAAGTTTTAAGAAATGGTAAATTTGAAATTATACCATGGAAAGAAGTTAAAGTTGGTGATATTGTACAAGTTAATAAGGGTGAAAGATTCCCAGCAGATTTAGTAGTATTAAATTCATCAGAACAACATGGTATTTGTTATATTGAAACTAGCAATTTAGATGGTGAAACTAATCTTAAACAAAGACAAGCCCTTCCACAAACATTTGAAATTCTTCGTTCTGAAGAAGATTTAGCTCATTTTAGAGGAAATATAGAGTGTGAACATCCAAACAATGTTATCTATGTATTCAATGGTGCCATTCAAATGACTGAAGATAGTACAAAACATCCATTAAATAACTCTCAAACCCTTCTTAGAGGTTGTGTTCTTAGAAATACTGAATGGATTTATGGTGTCGTAGTTTACACTGGTGAGGATACTAAACTTATGCAAAATAGTACCGATGCTCCATCAAAGAGAAGTACATTAGAGAAATTAGTAAACAGAGCCCTTATCAATCTCTTTATAATTATGTTTGTAGTCTGTGTAGTTGGTATGATTGTTAGTGTTATTCTTACAAGTACAAATAAAGACGATCAATGGTATTTAGGATTGGAACAAAAGGATGTTAGAAAGGCAGTCTTAAATCTTTTCTCATTTATGATTGCTTTTGCAGTTATGATTCCAATTTCCCTTTATGTCTCTTTAGAATTAGTCAAAGTAGCCCAAGCTGTTTATGTAGGTTGGGATATCAAAATGTATCACGAGGAAAGCAACACTCCAGCACGTACACGTACATCAAATCTCAGTGAAGAGTTGGGTCAAATCGAATATATTTTCTCTGATAAAACTGGTACTTTAACTCGTAATCAAATGGACTTTTTAAAATGTTCAGTTGGTAAAATGGTTTATGGTAATATGGAAAAAGAAGACGAAAATGGTGGTTCCCAAGGTACTTCAAATAAATTTGGTATTGCTATGGAAGGTATCCCAGGTGCTGATGCAAACTTTTTCTTTAAGGATCGTCGTCTTATTCAACATTTAGATGAAGATAAAAATTCAGAACAATCTTTCCTCATTAACGAATTCCTCACTTTATTAGCAGTTTGTCATTCAGTAGTTCCAGATCGTCCAAATAAAGATGATAGTGAAATTATTTACGAAGCCTCAAGTCCAGATGAAGCCGCTCTTGTCACTGCCGCTAAAAATTTAGGTTATGCATTCTACAATCGTGATCCAACAGGTGTTTTTGTAAATATCCGTGGTCGTATTGAAAGATTCGAAGTTTTAAATGTTTTAGAATTCAATAGCGATCGTAAGAGAATGTCTGTTATTTGTCGTAACCCACAAGGTCGTATTATTCTCTATTGTAAAGGTGCCGATACTACCGTGCTCCCATTATTAAGAAAAGATCAAGAAGATCTCTACTCCATCACTTTAGAGTTCCTTCAAGATTTTGCTGCTGATGGTTTAAGAACTCTTTGTTTGGCCTATACTTATCTTGAAGAGGAAGAGTATCAACAATGGAATGAACAATACAAAGAAGCTGCTATCTCAATTCAAGACCGTGATATCAAAGTTGATAAAGTTGCAGAGCTCATCGAAAAGAATTTAACTTTAATTGGTAGTACTGCAATTGAAGATAAACTTCAAGTTGGTGTTCCACAAGCCATTGCTAACCTTGCCAAAGCCAATATCAAACTCTGGGTTTTGACTGGTGATAAGCAAGAAACTGCTATTAATATTGGTTTCTCTTGTCATTTGTTAACTCCTGATATGAGAATTATCATTTTAAATGGAAAGTCTGAAGAAGAAGTCCAAAATCAAATCCAGGGTGCTATTGATGCATACTTTTCGGATGATACCGAATCTCATACAAACTCTGGTTTTGCTTTGGTTGTTGAGGGTTCATGCCTTAATTTCGCTCTCGAGGGTCATTTAAAAAATGTTTTCCTTCAATTGGCTTCAAACTGTAAGGCTGTTATTTGTTGTCGTACCACTCCACTCCAAAAGGCTCAAGTCGTTAAAATGGTTCGTGATACTCTTCGTGCTGTTACTTTAGCTATCGGTGATGGTGCTAATGATGTATCTATGATTCAAGCTGCTCATATTGGTATCGGTATTAGTGGTAATGAAGGTATGCAAGCTGTTATGGCATCAGACTATTCAATTGCTCAATTTAGATTCCTTTATCGTCTCTTAGTAGTTCACGGTCGTTGGGATTACAAGAGAAATAGTAAGCTCATGTTGTATTGTTTCTACAAAAACATGGTTTTCGCTATGACTCAATTTTGGTTTGGTATCTACAATCAATATTCAGCTCAAACAATGTTTGATTCATGGTCTATTGCAATTTTCAACGTAGTATTCACTGGTTTACCAATTATTGTTTGTGCAATTTTTGACCAAGATGTTTCAGCTGAATCCTCAATGAAATATCCACAACTATATGCCTCTGGTCAAAAAGATACTGAATTTAATTTAAGAGTTCTCTGGGTATGGTTAGTAGAGGCTTGGACTCATTCCGTTATAATCTTTTTCTTTGTTTATGGTTTATACAATCATGGTGGTACATTATTAGAAAATGGTAATACCCTCGATTTATGGTCAATGGGTCAAAATATCTTTATTTTGGTAGTATTAACAGTAAACTTAAAACTTGGTTTCGAAACACGTTACTGGACCTGGATCACTCATTTCTCAATTTGGGGTTCAATTTTAATTTGGTTTGCATGGGTTGCTGTTTTAGCTGCCATTCCAGGTATTGGTTCATCCTCATCAGGTGATATTTTTGCTGTCGCTTACAAATTATTCTCTAGTCCATTATTCTGGTTATCATTATTTGTTGTTCCAACTATTTGTCTTTCACCAGATGTTATTTACAAATACATTCAAAGAAATGTCAAACCATATAGTTACCAAATCGTTCAAGAAATTGAAAGACTCTATGGTAAACCATCAGATATAATGTCCAAAGAAAACTTAGATAAATACAAACATCATGATATTGAAGAAATGGGTGTCGAATCTCCACAACAACAAGAAAAGAGAAAGAAAAAGAGAGCTAAGTTTATGGCTTGGATGAAATCTGTTAGAACATCAAAGAAACATACAGGATTCTCATTCAGTCATCCAAACCAAAATAAATCAAATTATAAAGAAAACGCCGAAGATCCAAATTATTTTAATTAAATAATCATAAAGTTATAATAATATATAAATAATAATATAAAGTATTAAAATATTTTTAATAATATCATGTATATTTTAAATCGATTAATCTAAAATCCCCTAAAAAAATAAAAAATAAAATTTTTTTTTTAATTTAATTCCTTTGATTGTTTACAAACAGATTTTATTAAAAATCATTTATTTTACACATAAAAAACATATTTTTCAATTTAGTATATAGTTTTGATCAAATTTTATAATTAATACATTCATTTAAAATTTTTGTTTTGGTATTTATATCCCATTTAAAAAACCTCCAGATGAAAAATAATAAAATGCTCAACTAAGACATGAGGTGAAGAACAAAGTATAAATCAAGAAATTTCCCTTTTGGAATTTTTTAGGACCCTACTTTATGTGTTCAAATATTTTTATTTTAAAATTTTAATCAAAAACTTTGAAAATAAAACTAAATTAATTTATTTATAATTTTAAATGAAAAAATAAATTTTTTTTATCTTTTTCAAATAATTTTCAAAGTATATTTTTCACAAAATTAAAAAAAAAAAAATCAAAAAATCAAAATTTTTTTAATAATTTTTATAAATATTATTATTGTTTATAAATATATAAAAATAATTGTTATAAAATTATAGATTATTTAAGTTACCACGTCTATACTACTAGCTATTAAAATAATAATTATTTATTGTTTAAAGTTATTTAAATTAAAAATTAACAGTCTAACTAAAAATCTATAAATAATAAAGAATCATTTATCAATAATCAATATTAAACAATCAATAATCAATAATAAACATTCAATAATCAATAAACAAAAAAAATTGAAAACAAAAAATAAAAAAATAAAATATAAAAAAATTATAAAAAATTTAAACAAAAATAATATTAATAAACATATATTAATAATAAATAACTACAATAATAATAAATAATAATAAAATAAACTAAAATGACAGAATTTAAAAATATTGGTATTTATCTTTTTTAAACAATATAAATTAAATATTAAAATAGTTTTATTAATCTTTTTATTAATTTTTTATAATAGTAATTGATTGTGGTTCAGATACAATTAAAGCTGGTATTGCAAAGGAAGAAGAATTGCCAAGTTTAGTATTTCCATCAACTTTATTTACCAATGGAAGTTTAAAAAAGAAAACATCTAGTATAAATCAAAAGGAAGAAAAAAAGTTTATGGTTGACCGTAGTATGGTCGATCCAATCAAAGGTGGTAAAGTAATCAATTGGGACGCAATGGAAAGAGTTTGGGGCTATACATTCAATGAGCTACACGTAAATTCAAGTCAATGCAACGTTCATTTAACTGAAATGCCATTTTCCCCTAATATTGATAGAGAAAAAAAGGCCGAGATAATGTTTGAAAAGTTTGATGTTCAAAATATGTATATCTCTTTGGATGCAGCTTTATCTTTGTTTTCAATTGGTAAAAATACAGGTTTAGTCGTCGATAGTGGTTATGAAGTTACAAATATTACTCCAATTTTCCAAGGATACGGAATTAAACATACAATGCAAACTCTTAATATTGGTGGGAACACAATTTCAAAGTATTTAGAATCTCTTTTAATGGATAATGGTGCAAGTGGTTCTATTAATAGTGACACCGTAAACAGCATTAAAGAGAAGTTAGCATATGTAAGCTATGACTTTAATACCCACATGGCCAATAGTACCCCAAGCTCCTTTACATTACTCGATGATACCAATGTTGTATTAGACAAAGAGCTCTTCAACGCTCCAGAAGTTCTTTTCCAACCTGAGTTCTTTGATATGGAAACTGATCCACTTCACAAAAAAATTTTTAAGGCCATCAACTCTTCAGATATTGATATTCGTTATGATTTGTACAATTCAATTCATCTTTTTGGTGGCAACTCATTAATTCCAGGTTTACCAGAACGTATCAAAAAAGAATTATCTGTTTTAACCTCATCAGTCACTAATATAAAAGTAAATACTTTACCACACGACCAAGCAAAATTCTCTAGTTGGATTGGAGGTTCGAAATATTGCCAAATTTTAACAGATCAAAAATTATGGATTCCCAAAGAAGATTATGATGAACATGGTCCTTATATTGCCAAAATAAGATTAAATCACTAAAATTATTTTAAATCCTTTCCAAAAAAGAAATAAAAATTAAAAATTATTTTACTTTTTATATAAAAATAATTTATACAAGTGTCTATCCCTTTTTTTATTTTTATTTTTTAATTTTTTTATTTTATTTTTATTTTTTTATAATTTAATATTATTTGTATATATTTATTTGTTTTTCAAACTTTGATATATTTTATTTAAGTTATAAAATAGGTTAATCATAATTGGTTCAACAACAATCTGTCAACTGTTCTAATTTCAATATTTAAATTTTTAATTGAATTTTTTAATCGGTATATATAAATACTTGTATTAAAATTTGAATGGTGCAATGTTAACATGAATTTTATTAATATAATTTTAATCATTCGATTATTTAAGTTATTAGTTTTTTTTATTTTTAATTAATCCATAATGATATGAATTTTCAGTAGGAATCTATCTAGTTAAATTGTCAATTTCTCTCTAATTTGTTAAATTTTTACCTGTATTTAGCACATAAAAATAAAGTATCATTGAAGGTTTTATAGTGTAATTGGTTAGCACCCGGGACTTTGAATCCCGTAATCTGAGTTCGAGTCTCAGTAGAACCAGTATTTTTTTTGTAAAATTATACTTTTCTTCCCTGTGATTTCACTTTATAAAAATTCAGAGCTCCCATTGGCCATGTCTTGTTAAAACTGAATAATAATATAAATTCTCAAATAAATATACAATTATTCGTTTGTGAAAAATAAAAATAAAATAAAAATAAAATTTTAAATTTTCAAATTTTCAAATTTTTTTATTAATTTAATTTTAAATATATTATTTAGTTGAGATTATAACTGTATTCATTTAATTCTAAAATGCATATGAATACATTACAAATTATTGTTAAACAAAATCACGAAGGAGAAGAAGCAGAGGATGAGGAAGAAATTCAACAAAACCATGATGAAAATGAAGAAAAAGAGGCAAAGGGCAGAATGAATTAACCATAGACTCTTTCATGAATCACAGGAATTGAAATTACTATTCCAAAGCCTATATTATATAAAAGTTTAAACACATACCAAAAAATACTGTATTAATGTATTATAAAAACATCCAAATTTTCAGACGAATTTATTTTACAAGCTTATATGCGTCTTGATTTATTTTTTAATTTATTTAATCTACTATTTTTATTTATTGTACCAAAAAATTTGAAATATTGAAACCAATAATTGTATCCAAATTAAAAATATCAAAATTTATAAAAATTAAAGTAAAATATCAAAATTCGTAAAACAAAATTTTTTTTTAATTCTTTTTTTTTAATTCTTTTTTTTATTTTTTTTATTTTTAATTTTTATTATTTATAATAAATTACTTACTTAAAATATCTAGGAAGAAATGTCAAGAGAGCCAATTATTTTTAATTTTTCAGAACTAACATCTGTAATTGATGAATATATATGTCCAATATGTATGGAAACATATTATAAAAAAGAAATTTATCAATGTAGACAAGGTGGGTGATTTTCAAAGTAGTTTTTTAATTTTAATATTTACCAAATATTTGTTATTAATATCCAACTATTTTATTTAATAACTAGGTCATTGTTCGTGTAAAGATTGCTGGAAAAAATCACTTGAAATAAAAAAGGAATGTACACAATGTAAAATTCGAGTAAATTCTTTTAAAAACCTCTCAAGAACTAGACAACTAGAGAATTTAATATTAAAAACGGATGTATGTTGTCCATATTCATTCAAAAATATTATTAGAGTAGATGAAAGTGAAGAATTAATTAAAGATAGTAATGGATGTAAAGAAATTATAAAATTGGAAGAATTAGATAATCATATTGAAATTTGTGGTTTTAGATTTGTAAAATGTGGATATCATAAAAAAGGGTGCAAAGATAAAATCAGATACAATGAAAATGAAATTCATATCTCCGAATGTGAATACCAAACTTCAAAATGTACACATTGTTCTAATGTTTACTTATTAAAAACAATCCAACAACATTATCTCGAATGTCACTCGATGTTAATAGAATGTAAAGAATGTAATGAAAAAATTAAAAGAGGAGAAATGAATAACCATTTAGATAAAGAATGTCAGGAGGTCATTATTCCATGTAAATTTTCACAATTTGGGTGCAATGATAAAATAAAAAAAAGAAAATTTGAAAATCATTTGGATCAAATAAACCACAACAAACATTTAAGTATGGCAATAGACCATTTCAATACAGCAATAGAACATTTAAACATTAAAAACACTCAACTTTCAAATAGTATAAATGAATTAACCAAAGGTAAAGAAGATTTAATCATTAAAAATAATCAACTATTAAATTATATTGATAAATTGACTAAATGTAAGGAATATAAAAACAATTGGATTATTTCAAACTATTCCAAAATTAATCATAATAATAATTATGAATTTTTGAAATCTCCTCAATTTGGATATGATACAAAAGATTTATTTGATATCAAATTTTTTAAAAATAAAGATAATGTTGGAAAAATAGCTGTCTATCTTTTTCCTGCAAGTGAACAAAAAAACTTAACATTCTCAATAACTTTATTAAATAAAGATACTAAAAAGAACTTTACCCTTACATTCAATAATTGTGGTAAGTAATTATATTATTTTTATTTAATAGAAATTATTAATAATTATTATATTATTTTAATATTTTATTTTTTTTATAATTTATAACATTTAGATATAAAATTAGGATCTGGAAAAGGATGGCTCAACTTTATAGAAAGTGACCAATTAAATAAAGAAAACGGATATGTAACACAAGATGACAAAATAGAATTTGAATTTACAATTACAATGCCATTATTATCAAATTAAATTTCAAATTATCTATTAATAATTTAAATTATTTTAAATAATGCTTTTTCTATATTTTTACACCATTGCAAAGTTTATTTAATTAAAAGTAACAAAATAAAATAATTATGCAACTCAAAAAAACCTATTTTATTTAACGATTTAGATTTTTTTTTTTTTTTTTTTTTTATTTGAAAAAATAATTAAAAATGATTTTAATTATTTTTTCAATTATAATAATTTTCATACATAACACCCATTTGTTAATATTACAATAAAAAAAAAAACGAAAAAATCATTATTTATTGCAAGATGGTGAAAGTAAAAAAAAATATTAAAAAAAAAAATAAAATAAAATTTTGAAAAAATCTTGCACAAAAATAGGAAGGTGATGGTGTATCATTGCATATTTTTAAAAACTTTTAAATATTATTTAATTTTGTGTTTTTATTACACCTCTAGCCTCATAAAAAAAAATAAATAATTAGAATAAAAAAAAAATCTAAAATGGAACAAATTTGTATAGTCACAAAAAAATCCTCTTTCTATAACGTTTATATTTTTTTTTTTTTTTTTTTTGGGAAAGAAAAAAAAAGTATTTAATAATAAAAAAATTAGAATTATATTTAAAAAAAACAATCAAAACAATTAAAATCAAATAAATAAAAGTAAATAATAATAATATTTAAAATTTTTTAAAACTATTAAAATTAATTTTTTTATTTTTTATATTTTTTATTTTAGTTTAAAAAATGGGTGCCGATATTATCAATAATACTGAAAATATTAATAAAATTGACCGTAATAACAATTCAAATGGATGGTTTTTCATTCAAAGTTTACAAGCTGACAAAGATGGTTCCAATATTGTAAACTATTGCTTAAACATTAAAAATGGCAGTAAAGATCAAAATACTCCAGTTATATTATGGCCAATTCAAAAGAACTCTACCAATGAGTTATGGCAATTAACAAGTGATGGACACATTATTTCTCGTATGTTTGGTAATGTTGTCTTGGATGTTGGTAATTCAGTTGATGGTTCAAATTCCAAATTCTATGTAATTATTAACCCAAACTTTAATGTTAACTCTGATTCTCAAAAATGGGTAGTTAATAGTGAAACCAATCAAATCTCTAATAAGAATTTTCCAAACTTATATCTTGGTATTGACGGTGCTTACAATGGTCCTATTGCTCCAGTAAAGTATCAAAATATTGTCCTTGCCAAGCCAAGTGATAATAGTAACCCATGCTTTCAATGGCTATTTTTACCAAAGAGTCCATTTTATAAAATATTATCACAAAAGCCAGAACCCTTCCCAACCTATGAAAAAGATCCACAGTTTGCTGAAACATATCATTTAATAAGTAAAACTATTACTTTAGATAGAACTAATTCAATTAGAACCCAATATTCAAATACAATTGCCCCATTATCATCATTTCAATCTTCATTGGTTAGTATGAAATGTCCAAAAGATGTTAACCCAGAAGTTTTCGAAATTGTAAAGGATCAAATTAACTATGAACTTACATGTGCTATTTCAGTTCAAAACTTATTTGCCACCTTTAGCAAATTTTACACTGAAAATTATATTTGTAGTGAAGCAAGTATTACAAATCTTGCCCTCTTGTGTAAATTGGATTCAAAAAAAGATCTAGTTACTGGTTTCTTCAAATCATTTATAGACAATACCACAACAAATATTCTTTGTATGATCCCTGAAATTGGTCCCATTTTTACCGAGTTTGTAGATATTGGATATGATCTTTATGCAGATTCAGGCTATTCCACAAACAACATCTCTCCATTCACTGTTGCTGTATCCCAACTTTATAAACGTTTTTACACCAATTTTATTAATATTTTAAAAATCATTGGTGAAATAGAAACAGATATCCTTAATGATTGGGGTATGATGAAGACAACATATAGTTGTATCATGTTGCCAGTTGGAACACCAAACTCTCTATTTTGGAACACCAACATGAATTATGAATTGGTTAATGCAACATCTATTGCTAATGACATTGCAATTTTACAAGTATTAATGCCATCAAAATATCAAATATACTATTGTTCATTTGGTATCAACTATACAAACGCTCCTTCATATTGCCAATATTGGGATAATAGAAAACAATTTTATTATATCGCAGAAATTCAAGATAATAATGCTTTTCCAGACAGTGAACTCATGAAAACTTATCTCTGGGGAAATAATGTAAATCAACAAGAATTTTATCAATCAAACTTTGGTTGGACTTTCAACACTGCTAATAATGATGTTTATAAAAATCGTATTTATAATCAAGGTCTACCAACTCTCTTCAACGGTACATCCACTCCAATGTATTATAATTTAGTTAACAACGGAACCCCAGTAAAATGTAATGTTTATACATATTCTTCTGGTTTTTTTTCAGGTGAATATTCCACAGGTCTTCTAGGAAGCCACGAATATCAAATTGAAATTTATGACTTTAATAATAATCAACTCATGTCATTTACAGTTTCTGTTGACTTACCAATGATGAAGGGTTGTACACCAAGAATCGTTGGTTCCCCTACCATCGCATCTGGTTATTACTTTGTTAATCAATTATCCTGTGAAGGAAGTAGAAGCCAAGAGTTTGCAGGTAGCTTATCTTTTGCTATTTATCCAAATCCAAGTACCTCAAAATAAATTTGTGAATAAATTATTTATTGACACAAACAATTGATTATTTTTATAGATATTAAAACAAAGAAATAAAAAAAATTATAAAAATATAATATATTTAGTACTGATTGAATTTTTTATTATTTTATTTTAAATACTCAATTTTTTTTTTTTTCTTTTGATAATCAAACACATTTATAAACCCATATAGATTGTAACCTTTGGAATAGTAAATTTATAAAATCATAGTGATATTCGAATAATGTTTACTCTTTTATTGAATCTGATCAAATATTTGAATTAATTTTCAAAATTGGGTTTAATCGGTGAAATAAAAAAATGAATATTACTTTAGTGCTTGTTTTTTGAAAATTAAAAATAACTTAAAAAAAAAATTAATCTTTTTTTAAAATTAATTTTTTTAATTTTTTTATTTTTCTTTAAATTTTCACACCCAAAAAATTAATTTTATTTTAATTTAATTTAAATAAAAAACAAAACCACAAAAAAAAAATTTTAATTTAAAATAAAATTAAATTATTAATAACAACAAAATAATAATTATAATACACAAAAAATAAAAAATATAAATATAAATACAAAACCAATATACAAATAAAAAAAAGATGGATCAATTATGTTCAAATATTTTTAAAGTTTCCGAGGGGGAAATGGCTTTTAGAAAATTTACAGAGATATTTAGGGAAAATCATAGTAAATTCAAAATTTATAACTCTATTTTTTTTTTTTTTTAAATTTAAAACTAATTTTCTTCTATTTTATAGGTAGTTTCAAAGATACTTTAATTAAACATAAATTTTTTATCAAAACAATCAATGAGTATTGGGGAAAATATGTTGTAGATGGTATTGAAAAAGAAGAACAAAAATATATTTTGGAAACATTATTTGATAATTTTATGACAAACGTTTTTCTAGATTGTAATGAATATGGTTTTGATGACTATAAAAATAATCTTTCTTATAACAATTCAATGACTTTACTATTTAACCACAATCCTTTTGGTAATAATGGTTATTTCTAATAGTACAATAATATTTGGTGGTTATTGATATGAAAACCCTTATGGAAAAGTTCACATTGGGCCACTATCGGGATAACCAAATGTTTGTCTAATTAAAAATTTTAGAAAAATAAAAATTATTTAAAATTGTGTTATATTTTTTTTAATTTTAATAAACCATATAAATTTCTTTTTTTTTTATTTTTTATTTTTTTTATTTTTTTTTTTTTATTTTTTTTTTTTATTTTTTTATTTTTTTATTTTTTTAAAAACATTATTTATTTATTAATTTTTTTTATTATTTAAAAAAACTGGGTTTTTAGAAATTTCTCACGCTAAAAAAATAAAAAACAAGATGAATGAAATTAATAATGGTGATTTTATTGTTATAAATAATAATAGAATGGAGGAATCAGAATTTGTTAAATTAAATGTTGGTGGTAGTGTTATTTATACTACATTAACCACATTAAGAAAGGAAAAAGACAGTATGCTAGGATTAATGTTTAAAAAAGATTCAACATGGAAGCATGCAAAGGATGAAAATGGATGTATTTTAATAGATGCAGACCCAAGATATTTTTTAGTAATTTTAAATTTTCTTAGACATGGTGAAATTATAATAGAACCAAATTTAAATTATTATGGTGTTTTATCATTAGCAAGATATTTTGGTTTAAATAGTTTAACTGATTTAATCGATAACGAAGGTATGTAAAATAATAAATAAATAAATAAAAAAAATAAAACAAAACAAAAATTTTAATAATAATATCTTTTTTTTTAAATTTATTTATTAAAGATGATAATAAAAATAGTTGGACAAGTTTAATGGAAGAAAATTTTTTAACTAGCGAAATAGATCATAATAAATGGGCAGTTACCAGAGAGGCTGGTTCATCAAATTTTTCTTTAGAAGAAGGTAGATTTAAATTTATAAATAGGGTATATTTAGTTAGTAAAGATCAATTTAACCCAGAAGATGGCGAAATTAGAATAACAGGTATTTGGACAAAAGAAACACCAGATGATTTCTTTCAAATTTGTACAAGATCAGACGGTAAAAGTCAAGGATCACCATATTTCGAAGCTAAAAGTGGTGTTGAATTTCATTATAGCCGTGGTCAGGCAGCAATTATAGGTCGTGGTGGTTTGGTTCCATCAGGTGTTGTTAAAATAAAGAAACAAGGCGAGTTCTTTTTTGGCGTTGGTGTACCTGTACATTTTGAAATTTTTGATGATGGCTGCACTGTATCTTTTTCACTTTGGGAAAATACTCACAACACATCAATAGAAGTAGAAACAACTTGTACAAATAAAAATTTAATAAACTATATAATAATTCATAATAGAGAAAAAACAAGTACAACTAATCAAGCCTCTTGGCTTTCAAATATAAAAGTTTCAAGATGGAATAAATCAACCCCTCGTAGAAATCGTTATAGAAGAGTTCATGAAAAAAAAATGAATTTAAATACTAGTATTTAATTTTTAAAATACTTTTTAAATAATAATTTATGTTTCACAATTATAATATAATAAATTTGTAAATATTAAAAAAAAAAAGTGCACAATAAAATTTAATTTTTTAACACTAAATTATTTATTTATTAATATAGTTTTAAAATAAAAAATTAATTAAAATTGTTTTCAATGTAATAAAAATAAATTTCATTTCATATAAATAGTTTTTTGAATTAACTCAATAAAAAAGTTGATATCAGTTATTGAAAACAGATTTTGATTCAATAATTGAATCAAAAATTAGGTTAAAAGTGAAAATTATGACCCATTTCAATATTTATTTATAATTGGTATAATTTAATTTTTAACATATATGGAAATATTTTCTATTTTAATTAAAATTATAGGAATCAATTTAAATAGTAAAGAATTCAAATTATATTTTTTTATTGACCAACTGAAAATTATTTCATGAAATTGTTTTTATTCTATTTACTTTTTTTATAAAATTGATGAAAAAAAAAATATTTGTAATGTATTCAATAAAAATGTTGAATAACACAATAAACTAAAACTCAATTTGATTCAAAAATTGAATTAAAAAGTAGGTTAAAATGATCATTTAAATAAATCATGAATTTTTTTTTTTTTTTTTTTAAAAATTTGATATTTTTAATACAAATTCTTTAAAGTTACCAGTAAGAATTAAAATGTATACAATTTGGACACAACAAAGTCAATTCCTGAATCCCCATCACAACTCCCGAAAGATTTGGTATAATCACATGGAAGATATAATTTCCCAAAAAATTAGTGGGGAAATCCGAGAATCGAACTCAGGACGCTACCACCCAAAGGTAGCATTATACCACTTAACTAATTTCCCATCTTGATATTTGTAAATTTAATTGTACCCAACAAAATTAAAATTATAAATCAAGAAAAGTCGTGCTCCATTCAAAATTACTGCACTTAGTTACAAGAAAACCCATTTGAATTTAATTAAAATTAAATAACCAAAAAACAATAAAGATTTATAATACAATCATCATTGCGTAATATACAAAAAATAAAATAAAATTCGTGTTAACCTTTTCTCCAAAATAATTAAAGGGAAAATTTTGTTACCTCTGGTATATTATCTCAAAATATTTCAGTTATTTTATACATTTTATTAAAAAAAGCTGAAAACAAAAAAAAATCTTTTTTTTTTTTTTTTTTTTATAAATTTCTTTATTTTTTATTAAATTTATAAGGAATAAAAACCAAAATACTAAAATTAAAAAATTTATTTGCACATATGGAGTTTGTGACAAACTCTGTTTGGATCTTCATTTCTCTTTAATTCAGCAATAATTTTGTGGAAAATCTTACCGACCAACTATTTTAAAAAATAAACAATTAGTATACTATATAAAATAAATTGTTTAATTTTAAAAACAACTTACTTTGTTACAAACGTGGGATAATGGTTTACCTAAGTGTTTGCATTCAGATGAAGCAAAGTGTTTACCTTCATCAGTACCTTTGTTAATAACTTTACCGGCAGCTTTAACAACATGTTTGCAGGCTGAACACTTTAATTTCTTTAATGGGTTCCATTTGTGTGGTTTTAAGTGTTTTTTCCAGTGATGTTTCTTGAGGAGATCATTTTCAACTTCACAAACACCCAAATCAGTACAGGCAGCAAGTGAATCTTCGTGTTCATTGGCTTTTTCCATTAAAACCATACCAAGGTTGTCAACAAGGTCGTTACATGATTCAGCAAATTCTTCACCATGGTAGTTACATGCAGAGCCTAAAGCTGGGATGATATCAGCAACTGAAGCATTTTGGTACATGAGGTCTTCAGTGATGCTGAAAGCAAATTGGCACATTTGACAATCAATAGCACGAACTACACTTGATGCAAATGCTAAAACACAAACAATTAAAAAGAATAAGAATCTCATTTTTGAGCAACAATTTGGATTTTAAATATAAAATATATATAAAAGAATAATACTATATAACTATTTATTTATTTAAATAAAAAATAATTATTTATAAAAATATAAAAAAGATGATGTTTGAATGAATAAAAAAAAAAAAATTTACCTTTATTTATATTTTTTATTATACATTAAATTTAATAAAAAAAAGTTTTTTTAAATTTCAAAATTTACTGGGATAATTTTAGATACTATAATAATTTATTTTTTTTATTTTTTTTATATTTCCTTATTTTATTTTCCCACCCCATCTTTTTTTTTTGTACTTTTTTATCAAAAAACTTCAAAATCTTATAAACAAAAATAAATTGTATATGGTCAGAAAGTTTTTGGACTATTATAAAAATATTTTTTTTTTTTATTAATTTTATTTTAAAAAAATGATTAAAAAATAATTAAAAAAATTAAAAAAAAAATTAAAAAAATTAAAAAAATTAAAAAAAAATAAACCAGAATATTGATCTGGGAAGAAAATAAGGTCGCTTATTACAAAAATATTATCTGGGGACATATTAATGGTCGCCTTTATTGTTTAAAGAAAATTATATTTTAAAAAAAACAATGAACAACATTTATTTATTTTAAATAATTAGTTAACACTTAATTAATTTCCTATATTATTTATAATAAAGTGCAATTTCCACAAGTTAACAAACTTTTTCAATTTTAATTTTATACCTATAATTTGAACTCCCTCTTTATATATTCAAACATAATGGGGTATTTAAAATAAAAGATATCTTTTTCTATTTTTTAAAACTTTTTCGATAAAAAGTTCAAAATAAAACAAAAATAAAATAAAATTGTAACTTTTAATAATTTCTTTAGTTTGCTAACTTGGATTTACTGTACCTCTTTGATCATACAGTTATGATGTCGACCAAAAAGAGTTTCATGTGTGGCTAGATATGATCATTCAAGTGTAAATAATCTTTTTTCTAACGCCAAATCTTTATTTAAAAATGCTGATTAATTAAAAACTTGATTAAAATAATCATAAAAAAAAACATATAATAAAATATTTCTTGTGGTACAAGCTTCTAAACATGATTATTCATTTAAATATGAATTATTAACACTTTGAGTAATACTATAAACTATTAAACTCAAAAATACTTTAAAAAAAAAAAAAAAAAAAAAAAAAAAAAAAAAAAAAAAAAAAAAAAAAAAAATAATAATAAATAAATAAATTCATTATTATATTTATATGAATAAATAAAAAAAAGTGCTATAATATTCTTTCCTATGTATCAAAACCTCCAATTATTAATTAAATAATACAAATACCATTCACACTCCATTTTATTTTTCTAAGTAAAAAAATATTAATTTTATAATTTTAAAAAAAAAATTTCTTATAAAAAATTTCTAATAAAAATTTAAAAAATCAATTTTAAATTTTTTTTTTTATTTAAATTTTTTTTTTTTTATAATCATTTAATTTAAGATTTTAAGTTAAAAAAAAAAAAGATATATATTTAAATTAGATGGAAGAAAATAAACCTAGAGTAGAAGATTTTAAAAAAAATTTAATAGAACTTCAACTTTTATTTAAACAATTTTTTGTATATAACCAAGATAAAAATGAAAATAATAGTTTTATAAATGATTCCAACAGTAGTAACTCCACTAGTACTTTGCAAAGCATAGAAGACAACACAACAAAAGAACACGATTTTAATAATGATGAATGCTATGAAGATGAAGATGATAGAGAATACATAATAAATAATAAAATAAAAGAAAACAATTCGAAATGGCTAAATATAAATGAAATCGATACATTCTACAGCAACACTTTAAATAATATAAATAATATAAATAACCAAATGAACAATCTAAAAAATGTAAATAATGTAAATAATGTAAATAATATTAATAATGTAAATAAAAATAGTTTTAAAATAATAAAAGAAAAAGTGTACAATAGTTCAACATCTACCCAATCATCCGAATCGCCATCATTATCATCAACAACATTTTCAACACTAAGCCATTTTTCATCATCCACTGTAGACCTGTATACAAAGCTAAATATATCCACATATAAAATATCAAGCCAGAAAAACAAAAAAAAAAGATCAATTTCATTTTTTGAAAATGAGAATTCATCTTTAAATGCATATATAACCAATCGAGCAAATAGCGATTTACCAACAAAGAAAATAAAAAATACCTACCAAAACCCTCTAAAACTCAGTCTATAAAACTATAATTTTTAAAAAAAAAAAATAAATAAATAAAAATATAGAAATTTTTTTTAATTATTTTAAATAAAGGAAATTTTATTTTATATAACACATAAATTCTTTATTTATTTGTTTATTAGTTTGTTTATTTATTTGTTCTTTTTATTTGTGTTTTTTTTTTTTGTTATTTATATTTTTTTATTATAGCTATTTATAAATTTTTTTCTCAATTATTTCTTTTTATAGAAAATATTTAAAATATGCATATTCTTTTGTTATACTTTGGCTCTAATTATTAATATTATTTTTTTTTTTTTTTTTTTTTTTTTTTTTTTTAATAATAATAACAATTTTATATTTACTTTAAAATACCTACTTTTATTTCTATCTGCTTTTAGCCCCATCATACATCTTTACAGATTGGCGAGGTTATAACCCACACTTGGTAGACCCATTAAATTAATTAATTTTATTACGAAGCAAGAGAACTATAAGCTTTTTGAATGATATCAATATCATATTGAGAAATAATGGACAGAGCTAAGAAATCCTTAACTAATTATTATTAAAAACGATTAGTAACTTATATTATTAAACCATCACTATTTACATTTAAAGAAATGGTACTGATTTTATTTATTTTTAAAAAATTGATGAAATATTACTTTTTTTGGGTGAAATAAAGAAAAATGGTAACTTTTTTTATTCTCTACTTTATATTCATATAAACATATAATTAATATTGGTAAAAATTGGATAAATGAATATAAAATTAATAAAATTAACAAGTATATAATTTATTAAACAAAAAACACCGACGACCAACTATAAAACTATAACCATAAAAAATTATAAATAGTGCCCTCACTTTTTAATTTTGTTTTATTTATTTAAAAAACAACCCATTCAAAATTTTTTAAAGCTTCCCAACTATATCCTATGTGCTTTCCTAATTTTTTTAGGATATAAAATAATTTTAAAAACCCCCACTTACCTCAAGGTATGGGTAATGGAATATAATGGTAAATAATTTTTCTATTTTTTTTTTTTTTTTTGAAAACTATTACAAATAACCATTAATATGGATTTTCTTTATAAAAAAATTTTATACGAACGAAAAAAAAAAAAAAAAAAAAAAATGGTTGTTCAGTGAACTCCAAGTAAAGATAAAAAAAAAATTAAAAAAAAAAAAAAAAATTAAAAAAAAATAAAAATTAAATATAAAAAAATCCAACCAAACTATTCCTCCAATACTAACAAAAAAAACAATTTTTATTTGCATTGGTTCCATTGATAATATTATTTTAAAATATTTTCATAAAACAAAAAAAAATAAATAAAAAATAAAAAAAACCCCCCCAATACATAATTTAATCAAATATAATAAAAATAAACCTATGGGAAGAATTATGAAAGCTAGCATATAGTTTTTTTTTTTTTTTTTATATAACTCAAAAGCTTTATAACTTTTAAAATAAAATAATTAATTGAAATAAAATTTAAAATAAAATAAATAAATCCAGGTTATAAATATTTGAATAATTTGAATAATACGAAATTATAAATTATACATAAAAATGTGGCCTTTGGTAACTCATTCATGAAAAGACATTAATCAAAGAGCCACAAAAAAAAAAAAAAAAAATTTTAAAAAAAAATTACAACATAATTTAAAATTTTCACGACGTTTGAACATTTCTAAATTCGAAAAGTCAAGCCCAAATCAACAGTAAAACCTATAAATATCTATTTTATTTAAACCAATAAAAGCACCACATTATTGACACAATAAAAAAAAAATTTTATCAATATTATATAATTTATATATTTAAAATAAAATAAAAAAATAATAAAAAAATTATTTCTTTTTTTAATTTTATATAAAGTTTTCTTTATTCTTACTAATACTTTTTTAAATAATTTGATAATTATTTAATTTTTTTTTAATTGGGGTGTTTTTAAATAAATTATAAAACAAAATTATATATTAATCAACCATCAATAAAACAAACACGTGATAATCAAATGCAACCCAATAAATTATTTTGTTCTTTTTTTAAAAAAACGATGTAATGTTGGCCAGAATAAAAACATAAAGCATCATCAAATCTGTCAATACACAACACAGATATTAACAAATTTGATGATGCTTTATGTTTTTATTCTGTATAAATACCACGCCCATCAATCTGCAATGTTACTCTGGACAACAAAAATAACAAAAAGAAATTCAACTGAATTGAGTTTTTTATTAAAAATATTACATAGTAAAATATTTTAATAGGAGTGCGTTATTTAGGATTATTCCCAACCACTTTTTTTTAAAAAAAATTTTATTTTTAAAAAATATTTTTAGAATTTTCAAAGCGAAAAGGCTTATAAAATCAGATTATTATTGGGAAAAAAAAAAATTTGATCACAAAACAAAAATAATAAATTTAAAAAATACAATTTAATTGTTTTTATAAAGAAAATAAAAAATCTGAATAAAAAACATGCACGAAATAATAAAAACCTTTTGATATTTTTATTATGCAACAAGTCTCCAGGTTTTTATAAAGCCAATTTTCTTTTTTTAATCATGTAATATTAAAAAAATTGGCTTGGAAAAAAAAAACCCAATTTTGTTTTTGAAAATTTAAGATCC